TGGAGACATGCTGGTACTTTGGAGACTTTTTCTGCAAGTTTCACTCCGGCACTGATTTTACACTCTGTAACGCATCTGTTTTGCACCTCACATTTATTTCAATTGACCGTTATTATGCAGTTTGTCAGCCGCTCCAATATCACAGCAGAATGACCACTCGTGTGAGCGTATTCATGATCCTGGTCAGCTGGGGCTTCTCTGCCTTTTTCGGCTTTGGCATCATATTCTCAGAGCTGAAAATCGAAAGCCTAAAAACCGAGGAGGTGCACGTTGCTTGCAAGGGAGGGTGTTTAGCATTGCATGGAAGAGAAATTGGAGTGACATATTCGATTGTGTTTTACTTCCTCCCTATGTTTATAATTGTAAGCATTTACAGCAGGATTTTTGTTATAGCACAGAAACATGTTCGTGTTATTAATAACTACCCCACAAGTTCATCATCAGTTACTAAAAAGGATCTGAAAGCCACTAAGACGCTTGCTATTGTCATTGGAGTTTTTATGTCTTGCTGGACGCCTTATTTCATGTGTAACATCATAGATCCTATTGTTAACCATACAATACCAGCACTATTATATGAGGTGCTAATGTGGGTGGCTTATTTGAATGCAGTGTTTAACCCCTTGATTTATGCTTTCTTTTACAGCTGGTTCAGAGAAAAATCCAAACTTTTATATCAAAAACTATATAAATTGTGCTAGTGGGCCTATTATAAAATCTACAATGTCATTTCTTTTTTTCATTCTAAATTTACTCTGCTTATTTCACTAAAATTTTCTCTTCTCTAAAAATGTAACATTTAATGTTTCAGTAGGTGTGAGGGAAAACCATGTCATATTCATTGCATGTCAAGCTTTTATTTATAAAGTTTTTGAACCACATTATAATCATAATTAATATAATCATATAAATTTAAAATGAACTATCATACATTTACGTTTGTAATATTTCGAATATGCGTGTGCTTATTCACTGTTATAAAATCTGTTTTGATAATTGTTGTGTGCTTTAAGGATATAAATTTCCCACTGCCGTTCTTTCAGCATTTTTTTTTCTTAAAGAATCTAAGGAATTTAAGACTTCTTGAGCATCTGTGTCTCATTAAAGTAGTGATGTATGACAAGCAAAAAAAAAAAAAACAATACATAAAATAAAACATTCTGTGTGTTTTCATTCCTTGAAGATCAACTGAGGCCTTTTGATTCATATATCCACCCACTCCAAACCTATCATTCCTTATCATATGCTGGCTATAAACCCATTTGTGGTATGGCACTTTCCCCACATTTTTTTTTTTTTTTTTTTTGTTTTTTTCTTTTCAAGCACACATGTTGAAATGCAAACAACATCACAATATTACTTTAAAAATGTAAGTATGATCTAATAAGTCAAAGTAAACAAACATAAACAGCCTAACAATGTTGCTGAGATGTCTGATATGAGATTACATATGCTGAGGAAAATTTAATGCTGTGCTTTAATATATTTAAAACTGTGCCTGTATCAACAATTTGGCCTTCCTCAATTCTGAATCAACAAATAATTTCTAATATGAAATATAAGTACTGTTATTATTATTAATTTTACTTCATTTAATTAATACATTGAAATATATTGTATATGTTTTAAAGTTACTGTAACTCTCTCACTGTATTTAAAGTATAACGTTTGTCCTCATAAACCCATAACCGGCCTCCCAGTTAAAATCTAGTAATAGTCTAGGACGAGCACAAGAGTTGGTTGTCCTCCTGCGATGCCCCATAAAATAAATCAACAAGTAAAAAAATACTTATGTGCCTAATCATTATAAGGATGCAAGAACGTCATGACAAAACCGATTGGCTAAACTATCGGGAGCTGTAGTCTATTATACTATAATGAAATATTTGTGATTTAAATGTTGCTTGAAAAACAAAATCTCTAAAATTCATGCTTTGAAAAGGAGCCAATGGAAGAAAATGCTTTTTGCTGCTCAATTGTAGATACAACATCCACCAGCAGGGGCTAAAGGGGTCAGACTGAACCAAACAAACCTTTGATCATGTTGTAAGTGTAGCTGACTCAATATTTCACTCTGTGAAACACACACACACACAAACACGTTGGGTTTCCATGTTTTATGGGGATATTGCATAGATGTAATGATTTTTATACTGTACAAACTGTATTTTCTGTCCCCTTAACCTAACCCTATACACCTAAACCTACCCCTCACACAAAACTTTCTGCATTTTTAGATCTTCAAAAAAACTTCACTCTGTATGATTTATAAGCTTGTTTCCTCATGGGCAGTGTTTGGCAGTAACGCATTATGTAACGCGTTACTGTAATTTGATTACTTTTTTAGTAACTGAGTAATTTAACGCATTATAATTTTTTTCAAAATAGTAATTGGAGTATAGTTACAAGCCACGGTCTCTATACATTACTGCTGCGTTACATTGCTGACAGAATGCAGTGTTTTATAAGATTAGAGATTGTAAAAAGGATGTAGTACACGCACTGTCGAGTCAAGTGCCAGTGGATTAGAGACCTGCTCCC